GAAATGTTTATTGATTTTCAATTTCAAACAATTTATTAGTGTGATACCTTACTATTATATGCTTGATGTATATAGTTGCTTTGGGATCTAATTTCAATAATTCATTGTAGAATTATATTGTAAAAGAAACCTAGATTTGGAATTACTAAAGAAATTAAATAAGGGCTTGAATGTTTTATTTTTCAATTAAAGTGTTGGGATGAAAATCTTGAGTATTCTCATGCAAAATTGACATTGATTGAACCCATCTAATCGAGGAAATTTCGACGCTTCACTGTTTCATACATTGATATTAAACATTTATTCCAATTGATAAATCATCCTTGCATAAAATCACGAAAACCCTAGTTTGTTTAATCCTTTGTGAAACTTTCCATCTCCCCGTGGAATCCGACATGCTAAAGCTATACTACAATCATCGTGTTATTCGTTGGGCATAATCAAGTTTAAATCTTTACAATATTATCTGTAAATGGTGATATCAAACATTTGATTTAATTTATTTTTCTTTTCTTAAAGCAATTTTAAGCTATTTTTGAGTATGATAATATATTGGTGTAGCTATTGAAATTCTGCCTAGAAAAGCGTTGTTTCTATCAATGATTTTGGTGACATTTTTTCATATATAGCGACAGGTGCCAAATTTCAGTACTCTAAAATGTTAGTGTTTTTTTTGTCAAACTTTCATTTTCTCAGGTTTTTTTAGATTCGAATGAAATTAAATGACAAATATTGAAATCTAGGTATTGGATTAAATTATATATAGGGTTTATCTAAAGTAGTGATTTTAATAAATTATGAGCAATCTTATGGATTTGATTATGTGTGGTGATTGGCTGGTAATAATCAAAGAGAATAAAAGTTAGGGAAATAGAGATGCAAGAATAAATATAGAAGTTGACGAATCACTTTGCAGGTTTACATTTGAGTAATTATACAGTTATCTCAGGAAGCGACGTGAAAATTTGGAAAACCTTGTGAATTTAGTTAGATTTTAATCCATAGATCTGTGAGTGGAAAAACTCAAATACTTTCAAGTATTGATAAATTAATCATATTATTACATTATGTGTAATTATGTCAATTATTTATTCAATTATATGAACAGTATGAAAGTTTCTTTCAATATGATACATGTGGAATTCAAAGATTGGATATGGATTATTTGTGAATTGGAATGTTAGACGTGTGATATTGAGATTGACTAGAAAAGTACCCATAATTATATAGTTTTTCTCGTTTACGGAGGGGTTTTGGCCGTGTCCTATCCTACACGAAAGGGTTTTAATCACGTACATATAGTTCACAGAAAGGCCTTGACCGTGTTCTAGAATTGATTATCAAAGGAATTTGAAACTTGCTTTCGTTCACGGAGAGGGCCTAAGGCCCATGATGAAAATGCTTAGCTCGAGAGGCGAATTACAGATTTCTGTCATAGGGTATGTTTTCGGTGGATTTTTCAGTATATTTGATGTGATGAGATAATAGTATGGAGATCAGCTGACGATTATATCATGATTATGAAATGATATTTTACAGCGTTATGAAGATGTCTCGTATCTTGATTATTAATACAATATTCTATTTTAATGTGAACTATTAAATGATGTAAATTTGATTTTCGATAAGAATATATGAATGAGAAAGTATAAGTATTTTTGAAATTCTTCACTCACTGAGCTATCAATTCATATAATTTTTCACGTTTTTCTTACCAGGTAGCAATTGAGCTTGGGATCTTTGAAGAACTAGTTAATTTAGGAGCCACCATCACATGACCACTGTAGATTATTTGTGTTCGTTGAGTTGAGCATGAAAAAATTATTTTGGGCCCATTGCATTATTTTTTATAAACATCTTATTTTGACACGTAATTAGTAGTACTTCATTGTCAGTTTTGGTAGTGGATCTAACATCTAGTCAGCATCTTCTATCAACTCATTTCTCGTTTAGGATCCATTAGGATGATTTGAGAAGGGTCGTATCAGTTTCAATGTTTTCTACTTGTGGACAATCACAACATACCTTATTTTCCATTTTATTGATTTTTTTTAAATACATTTCTTAACTTATTTATTCTAAGCTTATATTTGGTGTAGCTAAAAATCATTTTTTTCCTCACTTTTTTTTTGTCAATGTGGATAAAATTTGATGAAATGTACAGTTGAAGAATTAATAAAAATTGTGAATCTCATTAAATATGTGGTTAAAATTAATTATTGACATTGACTTAAAATTTTAAGTTATACTAAACGGGACTAAATTTAGCACCTGTGGCGGTTTCAGCCCCATTTTTAGCTAAGAATACATTTTAAAATAGTAGATTGATGGAGATTGTGTGATTAAAAAATAAAGAAAAATTTTGGATTTACGTACAATATTATTTTATTGAAAAATATGTAATTAAATAGAAGAGAGAAAAACATATATTTTAAAAATAGTGGAGATCAGACAAGGGCTTATTCAACAAAAAAGAAAATAAATAAAAAAATAAAATTGACCATAAATATGGAAGAAAATTCAAAGTTGGCCATAAGAAAAGAATTATAGAGTCAAAGGTAGAACAAGGAAATACAAGAAAAAAATTGTCTAAAGAAAATGGGGTCTTGAATTTCTTTCTTCTTTGCATAAGTTGATCACCGTCCTATGGGGCCATAACCTGAAAACTTCAAATAGGATCGCACTTTCAAGGCATTCCATGACGACTTGGTCCAAATTTGTGACTAATTATTTCCCAAATTAATTAGTACTTTTTTTAGGTTAACAGAGAGAAAATAAAATAGAATAGCAAGAAAAAGTTTAACCACGCTTGTAAATAAGATAAGCCAACACAGTATCTAATCAAAGTTTCAAGTTCGACATTCAAATTTGATATGATGATTATGAATCTTATGAATATAGGGTGTAGTTAACATTTCTTCCTATGATGGCAACCAAATGGTCACGTTGTTCCATCCCGTTGGAGATTTTAATTTTCCGCCTTATTTATTGTAATTTTTGGATAATTTGAGAATTGCATTAATGGATTTGGGTAATCAGTCCAGATTTGGACATAAAAAAATTTGTGTTAACGAAATTTTAAAGAACTAATTTTTTGGACAGAACAAGACGGGACGGGACAAGACACTGTAAATCTCTAATTTTTCTAGTCAAGATTTCCATCCCTATTTGTTACATAGTTTATTTATATTTTTTAAATTTGTTGTTTTAACAGTATCGTGTCAATTATTATAACTTTATTGTACTGACATCTCTAAATTAATATTTTAATAATTAATAACCTGTGAGACATTTAATAAAATTTAATGAAACCGGTCTTGTTTTATAGGCATAATTTTATTTATTTAATTTTTTTTTTTGCATCTAATAATTAATATAAAATATTAAAATTTTAAATTTGTAGAATCACATTCTTTAGGGAATCATCTATCTAGAGTTTTATTTATCTTTTATTTATGATGTTGACTATATACCTTGGAGTACCTATGAATTATAACATTAGTGTGATTTAAAAGGTCAATAAGAGAAATAAATGAGTGAAGAACACATAGTTTATCTTTATTATACAAAAGTTCATCATTATTTATATCATCTTCATGTTGGTCTTGTGACCCTTCATGTTGCTATGAGATCTTCATTCGTTATTTCTTCATGGACAATTTGTTGCTCCTCCTCCAAATTTCATAGGGCGTTATAAGAGTAAATTGACTTTTTAATTATCTAAAAGTATGTAAGAGACATTAGTAAATACACAATAAATAAAAAATTTAATAGAAATTCTATAAACTAATTCCCTGTGTTATTTAATAAATTATTGAACAACATATTGTATTAATTTTAAAACTGTAGTACTAAAGAATTAGACTTTCATTTTGTTTCCTTCTTGGTTTCTTCTCTTGTGTAAACGTGTTAATGTCTAGACAATCAATGTTTAGATCCTTTATCAAATTGTCGTGAATAATAATGAAATGTTTGAAAATATATTAGCCAAATGTGGACATCGTTTTCGAAAGGAAAGTGGAACGCTTGGTATGCATAAAATGTAGATCAACGTTGACGTTGCCAATACGCGATAGTATTATATGATCCAAGCATGGAATTTTTTAATCAATCCCCACAAGATGGAATGTCTATATTTATACGCTTAGAACTTATTTTATAAAAGTTCTTTAAATTTTTATCCACTTTTAACGGATCAAACTTTAAGTATTACTATGATACTAGAGTCTATCAAACTTAAATAAATAATTCTATATGTGTAAAGTTTGAACGATCATTCAAATTTCAAGATTGATGTGCTTAAACGAGCTACTATATATCTTGTAGGAGTATATTGTGTGTAAAATGTCACGTCAATTTAGTATAAAAATACTAATCAACATATTAGGACTAGCACTTGAATTAATCCTCTTAACAAATCTTAACTTTTTAAGATAAAACCTCAAATTTAATATCAACATCTAAATTTTTGCAACATAAATAATTAATATTATTTTGTGTTTGCGACTCCATTTCATAGTGTTGGTTATTAATCCTTCAGGTCAAAATAATTTCTAATAGCATGAATAAACGTTATCCACAAAAATAAAATCTTAAGGGAGTTCAATTTTTAAGAACTTTTAAATACTTCTTTCTTTACTCAGATATTATATCCGATAAAGAAAGAGACCAAGTCAGAGGTCTGACTAATATTCAGTCGAACGTAGAAACTACGCCAGAATAAAGGGAGCGAAGTATCGCATGGACTACGGTAGAACAGACCACAAAAGTAATTAATGGTAGAATCATGGACCAGTTTAATTTTTTCCATCCACTTGCACAGAAGATACAAATTGATGAGTGCCACAAGAGCATAAATTGAATGTGGCCTCTTTCTTGCATATTCCAACACGCAAAATGAAAAACCAGTAAAACCTTGCACAAATATTCAAGAATTTCACTATACAGACACTGGACTCACAGATTGGTCAATACTTGCGACTTTCTTGAAATGACCCTTTATTAGTTTAATAAACAAGGAAGACACAGAAAACCAACCATTTGTGTCTGAAGCTTGGAATTCACTTCACCAAAGCATGAAATATACCGTTTTCTTAACATCTTTAGATATCTGTGTATTCTGTCTTATCCTTTTATCAAGAAAATCTTCTGCTACTGATTTTCGGTACGATGCATGCTTGCCCAAGAATTGTGACAATGGCCCAAAAATTAAATTTCCATTCTATATTGAAGGTTTGCAAAAATCCTACTGCGGTTACCCCGGATTCCATCTCAAGTGCGGAAAACATGGCTATCCAATGATTAGTTCAACAGAAAATGACTATATAGTTGAAAACATTTCCTATCCTCGTCGTTCTTTTCGTGTTTATAATGCTGCTGTTTTGAGTAATTTAAACGGCAGATGCCTTCCACAAATCAGGAACACGACACTTCCTATTAGAGAGTTTCAGTATGTTAATGCAACAAGTCTTTATTTTTTGTCCAATTGTATTGAACCGTTGCCTAATGATCTTTTGCGATACAAGGTTGACTGTCCGGGTGAGAAAAGAGATAATTTGGATTTAGCAATTTGTGATAAGGATGAAAATTTGCAGAAGGGATTGAAAAATTGCGAAAAAATAGTGGCGGCCCCGGTGGAAGTGCATGGTGATGAAGAGAGGATTGTAGTGGGAGAGTATAAGAAGATTTTGAGAAGAGGGTTTGAACTGAATTATTCATCATCCAGTGAATGCAGTACATGTGAGAGAGAGGGCGGCCGATGTGGCTTTAACACCACTATTTTCAAGTTCCGTTGCTTCTGCCCTGACAGACCCCGTCCCCGGGGTTGCAGATCACGACGTGCAGATTCAGGTATGTTATATTTCTTTTTTGTCACTTTCAATTTATGGAATGTGATAATTGAAAAATTAGTTTGATAAAAGTTTCTTAGGATCTGTTTAACGTTCACACTAACAAAAAGAATTTTAAGTACGTTTTCTTACTTCCGTCATATATGCCAAAAGGGCATGTTGACAGAACATGTACTGTGATTTTAGCAGCCTAAATCTTTTTTCTAAAGTCCTAAATCTTTTCTTCTGTGTTACGTAATAGATGTTTGGATAAATTCAAGAATAATGTGCTGTATGGTTCGTTCTTCCATATGTTTGACCAAGAAGCTTAATAGCTTCTCAATTTCATCAAAAAACGATTAACTTTATTAATAGTAATAGTTCAAATCTGCACATGATTCTCTACATCTCAGTCAATGTGAGATCTATTTTCTAACATGCCTCCATAAGATAGTAGTTCGTTTAAGTAGAGCAATCTGAGAAATAACTCAAATCTATATATATTAATCTATATTTCGGTAATTAGCCAATATGAAATTTATCTCTTGATAAAAACAATTGAGACAATACCATGAATTGATTGTATACCTCGGTCTTGTTTTTGCTCTTAACTGAACATAGAGATGAGATATAGAAACAAGACTGAGTCTTCCTTGATGCATTCTTACGTACTGAAGACAAAAGGTGAGTTTGAGCCCCATTATTTCTCATTACATTAAATTAAAATTTTCTCTCTTACTTTTAACCACACAATCTTCAATAAAATAATATTACATGTAAATCAAAAAATTTTCAACTACTCATTTAAAAAAAAAATATTATTCATCTCATTATAATGCATTAAATTAAAATTTTCTCTCTCTTACTTTTAACCACACAATTTTCAATAAAATAATATTATACGTAAATCAAAAAATTTTCAACCATTCATTTAAAAAAAAATATTATTCATCTCATTATAATGCCAAATAATGCGGCTCAAACACACCAAAAATTTAAATTCATAACTATTACAATTGACAAAACTTTATCTCGTTGTTTTTTCTGTAGAACAACTAGAAATCAAAAAATTTACAAGTATATCAGGTGGAAAAGTATTCTTAAAATTATCCTTGATTTAAGAGCACGTATTGCAAGGTTTGCATCCCACCAAACCGATTAGTAGACCAAATGTCTAAATGAGTCTATCGATTCGATAAACGTATGAATTTCATAGAGCAGACACTATATTGCTACAATTAGTCTCAACGAAAGATATATCATGGCCTCGACCCGAGCAAATTAAGCTTTTTTCATATGGCCATGCTCTCAAGTCTCACCCACCAGTGGCTCAATATTACTTACGAGAACTTTGGAAAATGCAGTCGCCATTTTGCAATTCTCATCCCTACTAATTTCCTAATCTCATAAAACATTCCGACCTAACTCCACTGGATCACCCATTCAATTGATATATGTTTTCTAACAATTATGGATTTCGTTAGTTTTAGCCCATTTCGTTTTTTTTGTGGACTGGCCCAATGAATTTGAAATTATGGGTTATGGCCATTTATTAACAATTGCCACTAGCCCAAACTATGCATCTCATTACTTTGAATCCTACTGCTGGACCGATCTAGGGACGGAGTTAGAACTATATAAAATTTTGAGATAGATTATAATATAGACTTCTGGGGTGGACTAGTTTCTTTGAGCCAATTTTTTGACGTAAATAAGGTTTTAGGCCCAATTTTTGAAGTAAAAGAAATAAATCCTTTCGGCCCAAATTTTAGATTAGGCTATAACCCAATTTGTCAAAAGTTAGGTTCGCCCCTGAATAATCGAACCGGCTTATAGCCCAAGTAATGCGTTCTTCTCTGGCCAACTTTCACCGAAGAATCATCTATGTTAAAGAGACAACATTTTATCTGATTAATCCAAATATATTGTAAATTTGTGACTTAGGACCATTTTTGTAGGATTTTTGAGAAATTAAATGTCGTATCTGATACTAAAAAGCTGGATTAAGATATGTTTGGATAATTTACCGAAAGTATTTTGTCTGAATATACTTTTTTTTTTTAAGAAAAAACTGTTATAAGGTAGGTAACTATTTTTAGGAAGCTCTTTCTAAAAGAACTCCGATCAAATAATCATTTAATTGTCCCATAAACTACTGGTCACAACTAATCTAAAAATTGAAGATTCTTTCGCATTGATTATTAGAATTCTTCTCCCTCAAATGTAAAAATTCAAATTGAAATTGCTCAGTTGCAATTGCGAGATTACAGACACAACATTTTTTCTTTCTTTCTTTCTTTCTTTCTTTTTTTTTTTTAATAAATAATGTCAGCGAACATTTTAAGCCCCTGTTTGGCCCCATTGCGTGGAAAAATTAATGGGTGGAATAGTATTTTTTTGAAAAATGAGTAGTTGAAAAAGAAAGAAAAGTTTTCGATTTATGTGTAATATTATTTTATGGAAGATTATGTGGTTGAAAATAGGAGAGATAAAAATAAAATGTAATGAGATAAAATTTAGTGGGGCTCAAACGAGGGCTAAATTTCGAATAGTTGAATTGTGATTTTGACGTAACTTACTTCGTATATTACATTACATTTTAAATTAAAACTAACAGTAAAGTCAATGAAATGAATAATTTTGTAATACTAATGTGAGTACAGTAAGAGCCACCGAACTATCCTTTACTTTTCCACCACAATTTTGACAATAAAAAAAGGAAAAAAATGACAAGTGCAAGGCATTGAAGTTGTTTCTGATTCGCAGGTCAGGAATTCAAATAATTTGTTGGGTAGGAAACTTCAGCGTTATTGGTTTAGGCTGACTTTTTCAACTTAGGACATTTTGATAATCCTTTTATATTAGTCTTGATGAAAAAAGATTCAAGTCAAATGCCGTGTTACACCTTGATGATGATGCAAATAATTTTCAAATACAATTGGGACAAAGCTAGAAAATTTCATCTCTCTCACCATCTTCTTCTTCTTGTTAATCATGGTTTCTTCAAGGGAGCTCTGTAGGGATGCTGCCAGTTTTTTTGTTAATTTCTCTGTGTTTCTTCATGTTTTTACTTTCAAATTCGTGTATTCTAAATGCCCAAAAAGTTTCCAGTGTGGAAATCTTGGCAATTTGGAGTTTCCTCTGGCAGATTTTTCGCAACCCGGATGTGGGTTGTACACGGTTGAGTGCGGTGCTCTGCCGAATCCAAGAATTCACCTGGATACTGAGAGGTTATCGCTGTCGTATGAAATTATGGGCAACATATCTACCAATCGAGCATGGATTCGAAACCCTATTGTTGAAAATTTTTTGCGAACTAAGAGCTGTGATTTATTCCTCGATTACTATATTCCTTACAATCATTCTATTTCGTTGATATTCTTCCCCAATATCACTCTGATCAAATGCCCCAAAAATATGAACTCTGACGACGACGAGTTACGTCGTTTACATGAAAGTTATAGAAATTACACACGCTGCGACTTTGATATATATTACGCCAATTCAAATGAAAATCTTCCGCCCCCAATTCCAATTGGTTGTTCTGATCTTTACTTGCCGGTCAAATCACAGACTATATCAGATTCAGCAGACTTGTTCGAACGGTTAGGGAACGAATATAATATAGAATGGAATCTGTCTGAAGATTGTATTGATTGCCACCAAGGTGGAGGACAGTGTACAGCTGACCAAAATAATCAATTTCGATGTGCAAAAGGTAACATCGGCTTTTGAACATGGGCGATCTCAAGTTATTCCTTTACATGCTTCTTCTTGATTTGAGTTTTGCCAGCAATCAAGAGCAGGGTTTAAGTGATTTTAACTTTAAAAATATATTAATTGTCTGGTTTTATGTGTTACTGATAATTTTGCAATTTGTATTTCTATTTGCCAATCAATCCACATGAAAACAGTTGATTTGTGTTCTTTACATGTATAGATGTTCTCCATACGGTTTTTTTTTTTTTTTTTTTTTCCGCACAGGATATGAAAACAGAGAAATCTAATTTCTATCTGATCAATTGGACCTGATCTGACATATTTGCTCATGTTGGCTATGAATGCAGGAAAAAGTAAGTTGAAGCTGATTTTATTAATCACAGCCACAGGTAAGAACATACATATATTACATAGTAGACTTGGAAATTCTGTTCTTACCTACATTTCTTCGTTACTTATTACTTCCCCTTTTTTCTTTATTTCGATTCATTGGAAGAAATCATTATTCTCATCACAGTTTCTCGTTTCATTTCATTTTCGGTTAGTGAGTTCCTCACTTCTCTGTTTTATGATTTTCAGTTATAGCTGGAAGTATACTCATACTTTGCGTGGTAGGCATTTTCGTTTGGCGTCATAAAAGAAGAATCAATGATGCCAACTTACTTTCGAGGAACATATCCTCCGATCCTTCCTCAAAATCAGACATTGAAGGCGGGAGTTTCTACTATGGTATTCCCATCTTCTCCTACACAGAACTTGAAGTGGCCACCAATAATTTTGATTCTTCAAAAGAACTGGGAGACGGAGGTTTTGGAACCGTCTACTATGGTAAGAATCTATTAGTCATTATGAGGCAGACTCACTCTACATCACAATAAGTACAGTTGTGGCTAGTCGTTACATAATCGGCAACTGTTTAAAACTAATGGCAAGTATGCCTTCTTTCTAATTAGGCAAGCTCCAAGATGGACGAGAAGTAGCAATAAAGCGCCTCTATGAGCATAATTACAAACGAGTAGAACAGTTTATGAATGAAATCAAAATTCTTACTTGCTTGAGGCACGTGAATCTTGTTTCTCTCTATGGTTGTACATCAAGGCGCAGCCGGGAACTCCTACTTGTTTACGAGTTCGTTCCTAATGGCACGGTTGCAGATCATATCCATGGTGACAGAGCTAGTAAAGCACCACTCTCATGGCCAATTCGCATGAACATTGCCATAGAAACTGCTAGCGCATTGGCATACCTACATAAATCAGATATAATACATCGCGATGTGAAGACTAACAACATACTACTCGACAACAATTTTCGTGTCAAAGTTGCAGATTTCGGGCTTTCAAGACTCTTCCCTAATGATGTCACTCATATATCGACTGCCCCTCAGGGAACTCCTGGATATGTTGATCCGGAATATCATCAATGTTACCAACTTACAGATAGAAGTGACGTTTACAGCTTTGGAGTTGTTCTCATCGAGCTCATATCATCAATGCCTGCAGTGGATATAAGTAGGCATCGGCATGAAATCAACTTAGCCAACTTAGCGATAAGCAGGATCCAACGGTGTGCTTTTGACGAGTTAATCGATCCATCTCTGGGATTTGGATCTGATGATGATGTTACAAGGATGACTACTTCAGTGGCGGAGTTAGCTTTCCGATGTTTGCAACTTGAAACGGATTTGAGGCCTTCTATGGACGAAGTATTATCATCTCTAAAGGAGATAATGGGCGATGAGGAGTTGGAATTTGATAATAAAATGGAGACTAATGATAATCACAGCGTTCCAAGGGGTGTAAAGATCCCACCTTCACCTGAGACAGATGATGTTTTATTGTTGAGGAGCAAGTATTTGCAATCCTCACCAAATGCTGTGACTGATATGTGGATAAGTAGCTCTACAACAGCTAGTTCAAGTGGGTAAGATTTGTATTTCCTTTTCGTGTTTATAGAAATAGATTATGGTAAGAATTTTGTTATATATCCTTTATATTGTTTGCAAAATGGTTGTGATATATTCCATATTCTATGCTTTCTGCTTCAAAAACAGTAAATATAGAACTAAAACTGAGAATATGCTAGTAAATAATGTAGCTTTTCTTAACATCTGGCTATGTTGTTCTCCGGCTTCAATAATACGAGGAAACTGTTTGCTGTGCACTACTGACAGCTATGTACAAAACAACAAATAACATTTTTACTTGTTTTTATTCATTCGTCCTATCCTATGTTGTTCAATCTAGTATGTCAAATAATTTTGTGTAAAATGATATGCAGCAGTACAGTAAATGACACGCATCTAAGATGATGTCATTCTTGTCGATCTGTCAAAGCGAAGCATTCCTAGGTGTCATTTGGATCCTGGATTTTGACAGGGAAAATGAAGAAATTTCCTATGGATTTTTGCATTTTTCCCTTGTGGCCGGGATAGGGTGTTTGTTTCGTGCATATAGGCTTGTTCTTAACCTAAAGTTAAATTTTTTGAGTGAATTAGTACTACTAAAATATCATTGCCAACAACTTTAAAAGCAACAATTTTTATATATGATTGTTCAATGGACCGTAAAGAGGATAAGAAACGAGCTCAAGTAGAAGAAGAGACGTGATCCAGATAGCTCGTTAGGCTGCTATTCAGGAATGGGAAAGTTCGAAAAAAGATCTTACGTCCACTAGATACAGAGTAAATAATGAGGTTATGATGGATTCTCAACATAACATAGCATTTGATGAACCAAGTAACCAACACATACCTCAAAAGACTAGTTGAATATGAATCTCTAATAGAAGGTAACTCATCCAATGAAGGAACGATTCAACAATCATCGCAAGCTTTATGAGACACATGGAAATAACAAAAAAGATGAGTGATTTGACTGTGTAGCTAAATTCAAGGGAAGAACAAATTAAGGTTGAGATATGCATTCGAGTTTCATATTGGCCACCTTAGTTTTAAGAAGAATAGCGTTGTAAGAATTACTGCCATTTGGATAAAATCATAGATAGTCAAAGTTTGATTATTAATACTTTTTTACCATTTGGAAAAATTGAAGATATGTTACAGTTGACAATTCTTATAATTTGACTATTTTTTTATACCTTATGATTTTCAATCTTTGCACTCAGCCTATCCTTAGATTTTTTGTATGGTTTTTTAAATAGAGAAAATAATACCACACTCATCAATATTAAGAAAAAATAGAAAATAAAAACTCGTCAATTTAATAAATCACGTGTCATCTTGCTTTTTGAGATTTTGATTTTATGAAGTTTAACAGGGTTATGCAATAGCTTATCATGCTGATATAACCAAATGAAATGCATAATTTTCATAAGAGAAGTTAGATTTCCAATCTATTTTTATTTGCCAATTTCATTTTCAAAACTGGCTTCTGCGATAATATTGTAAGCAATATGAAAACTTACCATTTTTTGTTCCTCATGCAGCATGGGTGACATGAAAATATTAATTCCCATTCAATGCTCCCAAAATTTGTATCTGGGATGAGGATAGGTTGGATAAGAAACCTAACTAGATATCGAAACTTGAGATGATCTGCAATAGTGCTGTTGAGTTCCTAAAACAAAGTTTAAGATGTATGATATTGTAGTCCGTTCGATACTTAAGTCAGTATGCGTGTGAGCTTACGATATTGTCAAACTTAGTAAAGTGGACCTAAAGAGTGGAATATCATTTTCACGAGGACCGTATTATTTATTATTAGGGACAGATTCAAGATTGGATCCAAGACCTGGCTATAAAATTTCAAATCGGGCTACTACGAGAGGGAAAAAATTACATATAAAAAATTGATTTTTTACCAAAAATAAAAAATACCTTTAAAAAAAGTTGTTGGGCCAGGAGGGCGGGGGCTACAACCCTGCCCTGCCCTGCCTTGCCCCCCAAATCCGTCCCTGTTTATTATTGACCTAAATTGATCCTTCTTTTTATTTGAACCAATACAAAAATTTAATGCGGGATGTATTTATTATAATTTTTAGACTAAAATAAAGCTATGATTAACTAACTAGTTGACGAGATTGTTTTTTAGATTAAAAAGAAGAGAAAAATGAAAGGACTCGTGATTTTAAAATCTCCCCCTTGATTTATCATACGAACTCATGAAAAATAATTGGCATGTGTATTCGGTCAAACAATTTAATCCAGTTTATCTCTATTTGAATCTCAACATATATAATTAAATGCATTAATCTACAATTATTTAGCAACCACAATAATTATAGAAGTATATCTCTTTATTCAAGCTAAATTTTTTATTTTTCTTATTTAGTTTAAACAAATAAAGCAATTAATTATTGACCAAGTAAGTAATTACGATCATCTTAATAATAAAAGTAATATGCAAAACTAATAAAAAAAATTAGATCTTCAATTATCCAAAATCAATAATTTGAACTAAAGCTATATCTTTCATCCTAACAAACGAATTTAGCCAAAAATCATCGTATAAGAAAAATACAAATCACAATTGAAATACATCACCAGGTTACGAAGACAAGAAAGTTGAAGCAATCTTGCACCAAGATTAATACTCCTTAATAAATTCTCCAAATCCTAGTTCATTGCCTTGTATTTTTTTTTTTCTCTCTCTCAATTTAATCTCCAAGAATTTCTTAAAAATTGTGTTAATTGTCAACCGTAATAATGAATGAAAAATCTTATTTATGGTATTCTAATCCCATAGCTATTCGTAGGTTACAATTCACACAAAATCCATTCTTTTTGAATGAGTGCAGACAAATTTTAACCTAAAGATCAGGCTGCAGAGGCCTCCCCAAATTTGAGAAACCTCGTACTAGCATAAAAAACTCCCGTTGCTTTAAGGAGGCAGCCGGCCTTCCCAATTTTGGGAGATCTAACATCATTTTTTTTTTTCAAATTTTGCATGGTGCCCCCTGAACTTATAGTCTCCAACTTAGTTTTTGAACTTTTCACCTTCCAATTTAGTCCTTGACATTTGGATTTAGTCCAATTGCACATCACATCTTTTTCAATTTAACTCTGTTTGGCTCCAACACGTCCCTTGATTAATCCATTCTATATATGAAAGAAAATTAACACAAATTAGACCGAACAAAGATTATTTGGTATGTAAGTGTAAACTTAATAATTCATATATGAAAGAGATACAAATTTGTGAGTCCATGTATGATTTTGACACAAAATTGAGCGTATGTATATTTTGATACAAGGGTAAAGTTCATGTATAATTTTGACACGAGGATAAATATCATTTACCATTTGCATAATTAACTTGCAAAGTGCCTCCAACATAAGTACTCCATTTGCAACATAGATTGCTAGGTTAGTTTTAACAAACATAAGTTATGGATGAAATACGAATTTAGAAGTTCGTGTATAGTTTTGATATAATGTTGATTTCATTTATGATTTTGATACATTCTGTAAAGTTCATGTATAGGGCGCTCATTTAACACTGTACTTTGATTATAAAGTGCCTTCAAATATATAACAAGATTAGAAAGAATATATAAATTATATATTTGGCTGTCCAATCACAAAATCTGAAAGAAAATATTTTTTAGTTTTTTGATCAGTTGTGCTAATGTACATAACGATTTACATACATATGATGTGATGAGATATAATTAGGTCATAATTTTTTCATCATCTATATGTAAATCATTATGTAACTTATTATATACAAGTAACTTATTCTTTTTGAATTCATAACAAGTGAAATTAGATACATATTTTAAAATTTGTAACCGCTTGACCTGTCCTTTGAATTAATGACAAGTTGGTTTAACTAGTGAGATTTATGTGCCTTCACGTTAGGTCCTTCTCTGATTCCAATAAAATTTAATTATGTTATAGGTATAGGAAAATTTTGACAGAATTTTGACAGATGAACACTTGGCAATTTTTCATTGGTTTTGGACCCAACACAACACCTGTATAGATTCTATGAATAATTTCTTGTATGTTATTCAATAAAATTGAATAATGCTATTCATAGTGAATATTACCGATAGTCGTCCTACGTGACAAACACATGAGAGTTTGTTATTTTATACATTAATATGGTAGTTTTGATTGTCTTATGTATCAAATGTATGCCACGCAAGATGATTTGTCGGCAATCTTCACTATGAATAACATTATTCATTTAGGCAAGTCAAGAATTTATGCAAAATGAATGATTATCTCGACCACATATTTTCTTGATAGACCAAGCCACTTGTACCCGGGCGTTTACATGCTTGGTTAAACACCCTTCACATGGGGGACGGGGCCACGCAACCAAACGCTCGGTTACAAATGAAATTTCTTGTTTTTGATTCATATTCTATTTGTCTTGTTATACGCCGGGTACAGATGAAAATTCCATTTTTGATTCATATTCTATTTGTCTGTGTCCAGGTCTTCGTGAAAATATTTCCAAGTCAACTGCTCTGGTCAACCGCGTCTCTATAATTTAATGAAATTGAGGGAGACTGAGATTTCTATCCTATTCTTCTCCTTCTCGTTAGGCATGGCTTTTTCCAGGAAGCTCTATAGGCCTGTTTCTAGTTTTCCTGTTTATTTCTCTCTGTTTTGTCTGCTTAATCTAAACTTTGTCTATTCTAAATGCCAAAAATCTTTCCAGTGTGGAAATCTTGGCCGTTTGGAGTTTCCTTTATCCAATTATACGCAATGAATGTGGATTGTTCAGGGTTCAGTGCGATGCCACTCCACATCCATTAGTTTACCTGGAAGATGAAGGGATTTCATCAACCAGGGAGATTCTGTCCAAGATATCTACCCATGTGTTCAGGATTAGGAACCCTACTCTTGAAGGTCTTTTGAAAAGTAAAAGCTGCGTTGTGTTCAACAATTTCTCTATTCAAAGCTTGCCTACTATTTCGTTGTCATTCTTACCTAATATCACTTTGTTTAAATGCCACAAAACTCCGATACTTTCTTTCACGGATTATTATAGGAAGTACACAGGTTGCCATTACTTCGATATATATTACGCCATTAAGAATAAAAGTATTTCTTGCCCAGATGAGTGTTCTGTTTTTCACTTGCCAGGCGACTTGAAAAATGAATCAGATTCAATAGACTTATTCGATCAGCTTAGCGCTGAATATGATGTACAATGGTTTCTGTCTGTTGACTGCGCAGAGTGTCACAACAAAGGAGGCCAGTGTACAAATACCAGGAAGAATGAATTTATATGTGAAAAAGGTACCATCGACCTTCAACACGGACAATTGCAAGATAATCATTTACAACTGCAAGATAGAATGAATTTATCAAGCGATTGCTATATGCCAATAAACAGTTGTTTTATGTCCTCTTGTTTATATGTGTAGTGTGCTCTGCTCCATGCTTTGTTGAGACTTTCGTTTTTCTGTCTTTGACTGAGTCTGAACTGACATATTTTCTCATGCTGACATACGTTTTTCTGAAGAGAGCTCTTTAGAGATGATGCCAGTTTTTGTGTTTATGTCTCAGTTTTTCTTCATGTATTTATCCATCACATTCTATAGCACATACCAGGAATGATTTCAAGTAATCCATTCACCAATTTGTAGTTCTGAAGAATATCTTCATTTGACCGAGTCGTGCAATGCTAAAGACAATTTGCACAAGTTTTTCCCTTGTGTAAATACATATAAACTCTTGACAATATCCATTATTATTTTAATTTAAAAATCATACAATATTACAAGTAGTAAAACTATAAAATATTTTCAAACTTCAAGATATGCATTTATCAAAAAATAAATAACTCTTATAAAATAATAATTTTTCATAGTCTCGAGAGTGCTACTTTATAGTGGTTTTATTGTAGCGTGTTCCATTAAAATCACTATATATAAATATAAACTGCTAAGTCGAGTTATTTTAAAGTTTGTCTTTTAGCAGCGTAATCTATAGTAGTTAAGTGATCTCAATTCTAATCAGAAACTTAAATCATTTCTTGACTACAAAGTGTGTTGAATTAAATAGTAGTGATTTTCATTTAGTATACCAGGCAATTTGATAGAAAATCTTGACTCCAGATAAATTTATTTCACAACTGTGTGAAATCACATGTTCATGAGACATGCCCCGTAAAAATTTGCATGCAGAAGAGATTATACAAAGAAACCATTTTATTTTTATAAGGTGTTCTTAATCTAACATGTATTTTGACTTCAACTGCAGGAAGAAGTAAGTTGAAATTGATTTTCATCGCAGGTAACTCTTCCAAATTTCAGTACCATTTGTTTTGCACTTTGCTTTATAAATAAAGATATCATTTTTCAAAATAGGCGGTTTAGCTGCTGCGGTAGTCCTCTTCTCCATAATCTTGTTCATTTTCAACAAGAGCAAGTGTGTGTTGAATTTAAAGGGAAAATCGCAAAATCATAAGGACATTGAACTCTTCCTAAAGAATAATGAGAATCTTGCACCACGAAGATACAACTACTTTGATCTGAAGAAAATGACTAACTCATTCGGTGACAAGCTAGGGGAAGGGGGCTTTGCTAGTGTGTATAGAGGAAAGTTGCCCAATGGCCATCTTGTAGCAGTAAAGATTTTGAAAGAATCAAAGGGCAATGGAGAAGATTTTATCAATGAGGTTGCAAGCATTAGTAGAACTTCCCACATTAACATTGTCACTCTCCTGGGATTTTGCTTTGAGGGTTCCAAAAGAGCTCTCATTTATGAGTTCATGCCCAATGGATCTCTTGAGAAATTCATATGCCACAATAGCTCTATAGCAGAACGTCAGTTAGGATGGGAAATTTTGTTTCAAATTGTAGTTGGCATTGCTGAAGGAATAGAATACTTGCACCAAGGATGTAATACACGGATTTTGCACTTCGACATAAAGCCTCACAACATTCTCCTCGACAAAGACTTCAAACCTAAAATATCGGATTTTGGCTTGGCGAAACTTTGCCCCAACATGTCCAGTATAGTTTCAATACTAGGGGCTAGAGGTACAATCGGGTATATAGCTCCAGAAATAGTTTGTAGAAACTTTGGAGACGTTTCTCACAAGTCAGATGTCTATAGCTATGGTATGATGATTTTGGAAATGGTTGGAGAGACGAAAAATATCGAAGTCAGAGTTGATCATTCAAGTGAAAATTATTTTCCTGATTGGATATATAAGAATCTTGAACAGAATGCTAAACTTGATTTGAACAACATTGTGAATGCAAATGAGCATTTGAGAAGGAAAATGATAATAGTTGGCTTATGGTGCATACAAACTGATCCTAGAGCTAGACCATCAATGAACAGGGTTGTAGAAATGTTAGAAGGGAACATGGAATCTCTGCAAATGCCTCCTAAACCCAACTTCTTTATACAGCCAAGAGAAGCAGTAAATCCTTCAACTTTTGAGTTATCACTCTCTCTCTAATATTCATGAAGTTAAGCTACAACCCCATTCAAACTTCTTGGTATTGGTGTCTGGAGGCTTCTAATGTCGAAGCACAGAAGTTGTTTTGTGTTGTTTGTGCTCTAGCAATTTGTAAGTTGTTAATGTTACGGAACAACACTTATCCGATTACTCTTTGTTTTCATTGAAGTATATAGGACTATTACTATATATTTACGTGTATTTTATAATCAAAAAATTTAGATGAAGAATTTAATCAAATTCGTTAAACAAATCTTTATCCTGATTCGAGTCATGAATTTCCAATTTTTTTGAATACAAACTTCCAATTTTTGATACCAAAAACTTAATGATTAAACACCTCAAGCCTTTTATGGTACTATCTAAAGTCAATACGACATGTAGGCACATTTTTTTTTTAATTAAAATCTAAAATCAATTCTAGACCACAAACTTAATTATTAGTCTTTGTTTTCCCACTAAATGTAAAACTTGCGCTCTCTGAATATATAAGATCACATAAACTAATATATTTATAATACTTTCCTCAAACCTTCCGTATATTTGTTTATCGTCGTCTGATATTCGACAATTAAGTATTAGCACAAATGATCGTTTTGACACAATTATCCACACCAACTTAAATACCATCTTTTCAATAGTTTCATAGATGTCTCAATTTAGTCGCGCTAAAAACTAAGCTTAGATTTATGTTTGTTCAATACAAAATATTTAAGTTGTCACTCGACTCGTTTTTCAAGACGACAATTTTTAACATGAATTCATGTTCTCTAATTCGCTCATTCTTGAATTTTCAACTCACCAAATATTAATCAACAAATTTTAAATTAAAGAATATTAAACTTACGAAAATATACACAACATTTTCTATAGATTTACATGAAATATCTGGAGATCAAGTTGAATTTATTTTTTTCATATGGTCCTCCTATAGAATTAAACTTGACATGAGGTCATTCAATATATTCAAAATGTACTAGTATCACCATTAAATTGCTTCTGCAATATGGACAAATTGTAAACTCTTATAGGAATTATCAACACTGCAATCTTTTTTACAATGTGCCAACCCACATATATTGGTTAGGAACAATATAATTTATGATCAAAATATAAGTAGTGTCATATCGTGCTTTTTAAACTTACATTATCACAAGTGACCATAGAAATTTTAATTCGCAAGTTCAACATTAAATAAATGCAATAAAATAAAATATAATAATCACAATTTATATAGTATCAAAATGCTATTTTACATAAGTAAAACTATACTGTGTCACACACAATTCAACAAACCTCTTACTTTTTCTAGAGTATATGATGTGTCATGTCATGTCTTGCAACCACATGCCTTACGATATCCCTTGATAACCTTTGTTAACAAAACTTTGGTAAACAGATGCGCGAGGTTATTCCCAATAGCAATCTTACTCACTACCACATCTCTTCAACCAACAATGTCTCAAGAGATTATACTTTCGTCCATATTTGTTTATCCCTAATGGGTTCGTTATCATTTGGAATTTCTTCTCCCTTATATGTGAAGGTTCAGATTGAATTTGTTCAATTGAGATTGGGAGACTACTGACACAATTGTTTAAAACAATACATCTTAAAGAAATAAAGTCAATGGACATTCCACTTTCAAGTAGTTCAATTCTTATTGTGACACTACATATGTTTGCACTACAACAAAGTTTACTTTTTACGACGTATAGGCGCATGTCGTATAAAACCATTCTGTAAATACTAGCATGAAAGCATGCCATTAATGTATTTTTCACGGTTTGCACTTGCACGGCGTAAATACTCAGCTCTTTTATGGCGTGCATTTGCACACTGAAAATACACTTCTTTTATGGCGTGCACTTACAAGCCGTAAATGTGAATTTCATTTTTTCAAAATATTTATTTATTTAATTACCAGGTCCAACAAGCTTATAATAATTAATAATTAAAAGAACTATATATACCAACACATATAATATAATCATGTTTTCCATAATTTGAATGAATAAAAATATTAAGTGCAATCAAATACAATATTCCAAAATGTAGAGTTAATCTAAATGATTACTAAGAACATCATTAGCCTAGTCAAAAAGTTGATAGCAATATACCAAAAGTATCGATTACTACTCTAAAAATAACTTATTAAAATAGTACAAAATATTCAACCCATATTGAAGACATCCCACAATCATGGTGATCTTCTGTTGGCAAGCAAGCATTTGGAAAAGATTTGTAGCTTGTAACATGGTCAGTGGATACCGAATTGCTACATGCCATATGCTTTATTTTAGTCTGTGAGACTGAGTAGTCCTAGAACCAAAAATAAAGAAAAAAGTAATTGATCATAGTATACCTTTATAAAATAAATACCAAGTGACAAACATCAATTTCATTTCACTTAGCTTGGTGTATATGGCCATTGAAATTTACGAGTAAGGTCCTCTTTATTATGATTCTTGTCCAAAATTTAAGAGTAAACAACAAAACAAGTAAAATAAGATAAAAAAACTGCTAGAAGAGACATACCCAAGTCATGGCTACTTGTGCTTTTGACTCTACTACTTGTGCAGCTTCTTGGACTTCATGACCCAATCCAATTTCAAGTAATGGAAGAATATGCATCTACGTTGTTTAACTAATAGTAACTAAAAAATAAATAAAAACCATGACAATGTGACTCAAATCCATAACCGAAGGTTAGCCACAAGACATCATAGATCAATTTATAGAGAAACTAGACTAGATAAATAGTGGCAATGGGAATAAATATTCTTTAGTCACTATCATAAACAAAAGGTCCATTTGTGAAAATAACGAGACCATAAAATTTATAAGAATGATAGCTAGCAATTTATAAAATTATATTAACGACTACGACTTAAAGATGGAATGAGAACCAAAACGGCTAGTCTCAAAACCTTGTTATAGGAAAGTTGGAGCAGTGGTGAAAAGAGACGTGTTTAGAGCCACATTTTAACTACCTCTTAGTAAATGACAAGAATATTTGTAATTAAGTTCAAAGACCATATATACCAACAAGGCATTTATTTAAGCATAAAAATTCCAAACCAACATTTTGGCTGCAACACGACTAGAAAAAAGTTTAGTCAAAATGTGTGAAGATCATAGTAGACCTTGTTCTGAACCCGATTGATCTGATACTCCCTCCAACTCCATTTGGTCCATAGTTCATTCCATTGTATGCCACTACTAGAAAAGGTCAATGAATACATTACCGTAAAGAAGCAACTGAAATTGAAAACGAAGCACGTACTTTCCAGAACAATTTCTTATAAACACCTTTGAAATTGCAAAAACTATGAAGCATAAACATCAATGAAATAACTCCAACATAACATGCAAAACTTCTGCAAAAATTTATATGCTAAAAAAATCTAACATGAGCATAAATTAATGAATTCACCAATCTCTACAATTATCTATAATTTATGATCATCTCATATTCCCATTTTATGAATGAGAATAGTCCCTCCTTTAGTAAAAGGCATTTTATCTCCAAGCGTTTAAAACAAGTTATACAAGTCATACTCGAGACTTTCCAAAGTACATTCTAACAGTCCAATAGTTACTATACCATGCACAGAATGAACTGGTGGTGCAGGAACTCTGCTTTCACCAGATTGAAATGAAAAATACACTTCAAAATATAGAGAACAGAGATAAGAATGATAATACACAAGGAAAGCCACCAGAGTAGAAGAAAAGCCTATCTAGTCTCACAAAGATAAGATTACTAAATTTTGTTGACTTAAACTTCCTAACATTCCCAAGGGATATTGGGAATTGAGGCTCAGGCGCTATAGGTTTTGTGATAGATTATTGAGAGTTCAATTTTTTGTAATGGCAAGGAGTATGAGAGATGGTGGCGTTTGCCCACCATCCTGCTACTGTTCAAGGAAATTCAAGCTCGGTTTGTCGATTGGCACATAGCGAATTTAGAAGTCTGAGATTTTTCTCTCTTCAGTCTTGACCTCGATACATTTTGGGCCTACGAATCTGTTTCTTGATGCAAAATTGTTTGCGGGAGAAAGTGGACTGGATTTTTCAGCATCTATGCAGTAAATAGGGTCACCATGTACACACATCTCAGAGTAAAATAGGATCTTTAATCAGAGTAATTGAATTGTTTTCACCATGTACATATATGTTCCCATTTGTGCATAGTTTAGAGAAAATTATAATTGGGAGAATAATTTAAAGGCACGTAGACAGATTACAAGTTTGGTGACTAAAGCGTACTATAGATTCTAATCATTCCAAATCGATAATGAAATCGTGTTCTGGCCCTAAATGTTGTGAAATAGCAACTTGTTGGCCACTGCCCAATGCACGCCCAAAACAATTCCCAGCTACATTCAATCCCACAAATCACATAAACATAATACCAAGGCCCCAACAACTCATTTTCAAATAAAAACCCTCGTCAAGTTTTAACAAACAAATATAATATCAAACAGTCTGAAGCTAGGATTAGAAGGTTAGGGTTCATTGAAACTTACAGGAAGTGGAGACATCCAAGTAGTGGTGAGAAAAAGAAATAAACTGAAATCAAATACTTCCAATGGCGTCGGTGATTCACAGTAACCGGCATATTTTGAGTGATTTCTCTATAGTGGCGGGATGAACTCTGCCGTTCGTGCTCTTTTCAATTTTGAGGGATTTAAGTTCAACTATTAGGGCCGTTTGTGTAAAAGATTGACGGGCTTAGTAAATTTCAAATTTTTTACATGCACGTGTGCATGCCGTAAATGCTCGTTTAATATGGCGTGCAAAGGATGCACGTCGTAAATATTTTAATTAATTAATCTTTTACGGCATACACATAGCGCACGCTGTAATTAGTCTATTTTTACTGCATGCCGTAGATGTACGCCGTAAATGAATGCCGTAAAAGACTGCTTTTGTTGTTGTGATGGTTTAGCTAAAAATTAAATTTTTAATAGATTTTGATAAAAGTTAATAAAATATGTGGTTAAAAAGTTGTGAATTCTATAAAATGTATGGTTAAAAATAAATTTGAGAACAATTGAGTTTATAAAATGGAGGCCAAATGTGAACTTAATTTCAAATCTATTTAAGTTTGTAATACTAATGTTAGTACATTCAAAGCTATCGATGTAATTTATTTTTTTCCACTACAATTTGAGAAAAAAGGAAAATGACAAGAAGAGTAGGGCCTTGAAGTTGTTTCTGATTCACAGGCCATGAACTCAATTAACTTGTTGGGTGAGAAACTTTAGCATTATGAATTGAGATATGTTGTCTAATTTTTGCCGTCCACCCAAATATTTATTGATACGTTATTTTAAATTAATAGGTCATCAATTTGGTGGGTTAATGTTGAAGTTAATGATGGCGAATTTGAGATAACATATTAATTTAAAAATGATGTGTCAATAATTAGTTAAATAGACGACAAAAATTAGATTGGACTGCTCCAACTCGGCACCTTTGATAATACTTTTCTATTAGTCTTGATGGAAAATTTCCAAGTCACCTCTCATGTTTCACCTTCATGATGCAAATAATTTTCAAATAGAATTGAGACCGGGCAACAGAATTTTATCTCTCTCCTTCTCCTCCACCAATTTCTGTGACTGATATGGGGATGATTAGTAGCTCTACAACAGCTAGCTCCAGTGGGTGAGAATTTTATTTTCATTTTATTTATTTATTTATTTATGGAAGTAGATTATGGAAAGAATTTTGTTAAACACCCTTTATGTTATTTGCCTAATTGATGGGGATTTATTCCATATTCCATGCTTTCAGATTCACAAACACTAATTAGAGAACTAAAACTGAGAATTTGCTATTAAATAATGTAGCTTTTTTTTAACATCTAGCTATGTTGTTCTTTGGCTTGATAAATACGATGAGATGTTTGCTATGTACTACTGACAGCAATAATTCTAGAAGTTTATCTCTTTATTCTTGCTAAATTATTGATTTTTCGTATTCAGTCTAAACAAATACAGCAATTAATTATTGATCAAGTAAGTATTTGTGCTCATAATAATAACAAAAAGTAATATACAGTACCAATAAAACATGTAAATCTTTAATTATCCAAAATCAATGTTTCGAATTAATTAAAGCTATATCTTTCATCTCACAAATAAATTTGGCCAAAAACAATTGTATAAGAAAAACACAAATTACAATTGAAATACACCACGAGTTTAACGAAGAAAAAGACAAGAACGTGAACGCAACTTTAACCAAGTTTAATTCTTCTTTAATAAATTCTCCAAATCCTAGTTCATTACCTTGTATATTTTTTTTCCTCTCAATTTGATCTCCAAGAATTTCTAAAAATATCATGTTAATTGTCAGCCCGATAATAATGAACGACATTTCCTATTTATAGTATTGTAATCCCATAGAAATTCGTGGGTTACAATTCACACAAAATCCATTCTTTTTGAATAAGTGCAATCCAATTTGAACCTAAAGATCAGGTTGCAGAGGCCTCCCCAAAATTGGGAAACCTCGTACTAGCACAAAAAATTCACGTTGCTTTATGGAGGCAGACGGCCTCCCCAATTTTGGGAGAAATAACACCAATTTTTTTTTTTACAGAACTTGCATGAAGCCCCATGAACTTCTGTCAAGTCTCCAACTTAGTTTTTAAACGATTTTCCCCTTCCAATTTAGTCCTTCACATTCGGAATTAGTCCAATTGCATATCATATCTTTTCAATTTCGCTCTGTTTGGCTCCAACACGTCCCTCCGTTAATCCATTTATAAATGAAAGAAAAATAACAAAAATTAGACCCAAAAAATATTATTTGGTATGTAATTGTAAACTTAAATTCATGTATGGACGACATACAAATTTGTGAGTCCCTGTATGATTTTGATACAAAACTCAGTTTATGTATAGTTTAATACGTGGGTAAAATTCATGTTTGGTTTGGATACAAGGGATAAATTTCCTGTACTATTTGCACAATTAACTTGTCAAGTGTCTTGCACATAAGTACTCTGTTTGCAATGTAGATTGCTCCGTTAGTTTTAACAAACGGAAGTTATGGATGAAATACGAATTTAGAAATTGATGTATGCCTTTTTTCTAATTAGGCAAACTCTAGGATGGACGAGAAGTAGCAATAAAGCAACTCTATGAGCATAATTACAAACGAGTAGAGCAAAGGCTGAGATATGCATTCAAGTTTCATGTTGGGCCCCTTAGTTTTAAGAAGACTAGCCTTGTAAGAATTGCTGCCATTTGGAAAAATCATAGATAGTCAAAAGTTTGATTTTGAATACATTGTTTACCATTTGGAAAAATTGAAGACATGTTACAGTTGATAATTCTTATAATTTGATGATTTTTATTTATGCCTTGTGATTTTCATTCTTTGCGCTCACCCTATCGTTAAATTTTTTATTTGGTTTTTTAGTTAGAGAAAATAATACCACATTTAACAATATTAAGAAAAAATCTCGTCAATTTAAAAAATCACGTGTCATTTGACTTTTTGAGATTTTGATTTTACGAAGTTTAATAACGTTATGCTATTTTACCATGCTAATAGAACCAAATGAAATTCATAATTTTTATAAGAGAAGTTAGATTTCCAATATATTTTCACTTGCCAATTTCATTTTCCAAACTAGCTGCCGCAATAATATTGTAAGCACTTTTATATGAAAACTTACTATTTTTGTCCCTCGTGCTGTATGGGTAACATAAAAATATTAGCCAAAAAACTCACGTTGCTTTAACGAGGCAGACGGCCTTCCCAATTTTGGGAGAAATAACACTCTTTTTTCCAGAATTTGCATGAAGCCCCACGAACTTCTTTCAAGTCTCCAACTTGGTTTTTGAACTTTTTTCACCGACCAATTTAGTCCTTCACATTTGGAATCAATCCAATTGCATATCATATCTTTTCAATGTTGCTCCGTTTCGCTCCATGTCCCCCCATTAACCCATTCTATGAATGAAAGAAAATTAACACAAATGTGAGCCCATGTATGATTTTGACACAAAATTGAGCTCATGTTTAGTTTGATACTGGGGTAAAGTTCATGTATGATTTTGATACGGGGATAAATATCATGTACCATTCGACTAATTAACTTGCCAAGTGTCTCTTACATAAGTAGATTGCTGCGTTAATTTTAACAAACGAAAATTATGGATAAAATACGAATTTATAAGTTCATGTATAGTTTTGATATAATGTTGATTTCATTTATGATTTTGATACATGGCATAAAGTTCATTTACCATTCACATATTTTACTCTCTATTTTGATTATAAAGTGCCTTCAAGTAACTAGCAAGATTCAGAAGGGAAATAATAAAAATCACAATTTCATCTTTATACCCAACTTATCAATATTTCTTATGTTGGGTTATATATAAATTATTTGTTTGGCTCTCCAATCACAAAATCTGAAAGAAAATATTTTTTTTTTTTTTTAGTTTTTTGAATTCGTAACAAGTGTAATTAGATATATATTTTAATGACAAGATGGTTAAACCTGTCAGAAATCTGATCCTTCACTTTAGGTCCTTCTCTGCTTCCAATAAAATTAGTCAAGTCTAGAATTTATGCAAAGCGAATGATTATCTCAACCCAAATATTTTTTGATTCCTATTCTATTTGTCTGTTTCCAGGTCTTAACGAAAACATTTCCAAGTCAACTGCTCTATTCAACAGCCTCTCTATAATTTAGTGGAATTGAGGGAGACGGTGATTTCTATCCTATTCTTCTTTCTTCTCCTTCTTGTCAGGCATGGGTTTTTCCAGGGAGCTATTCAGGGCTGCTGCTAGTTTTCCTGTTCATTTCTCTGTGTTTTACCTGCTTAATCTAAACTTTGTCTATCCTAAATACCCAAAGTCTTTCCAGTGTGGAAATCTTGGCCGTTTGGAGTTTCCTTTATCCAATTTTACGCAACCTGAATGTGGATTGTTCAGGGTTCAGTGCGATGCCACTCCACATCCATTAGTTTACCTGGAAGATGAAGGGATTACATCAACCAGGGAGATTCTGTCCAAGATATCTACCCATGTGTTCAGGATTAGGAACCCAACTCTTGAAGGTGTTTTGAAAAGTAAAAGCTGCGCTGTGTTCAACAATTTCACTATTCAAAGCTCGCCTTCTATTTCGTTGTCAGTCCTACCTAATATCACTTTGTTTAAATGCCACAAAACTCCGATACCTTCTTTCACGGATTATTATAGGAAGTACACAAGTTGCCATTACTTCGATATATATTACGACATTAAGAATAAAAGTATTTCTTGCCCAGAGTATTCTGTTTTTCACTTGCCAGGCGAATTGAAAAATGAATCAGATTCAATAGACTTATTCGATCAGCTTAGCGCTGAATATAATGTACAATGGTTTCTGTCTGTTGACTGCGCAGAGTGTACAAATACCAGGAAGAATGAATTTATATGTGAAAAAGGTACCATCGACCTTCAACATGGACAATTTCAAGATAGAATGAATTTATCAAGTGATTGCTATATGCCAATAAATAGTATTGTTGGGGATCCTAGGAGTTCAATCAACCAAAACATCAATCAGCAAACAAGATTCAAGGCAAAAACAAGAAAATATAAAACCGGAAGAATACAACCCCTTTATATGGCCGAAATCTGTCCAGCTTCTTCTTCTTCCTTGCAGCAGCTTCTTCACCTCTTATGGCAGATTTTACAGGCTCAGGAACAGCCTCATGCTATGCAAATCGCCTTCCAAAGAGAGATAGAAAGAACCGGCAAAGAACCTCTTGAAAACCACCAACCAAGAGACCACCTTAAGGAACCAACAAAAATGGAGGAAATTTTCTGTCGAGCCACACACAGAAAATGACCAGCCTGCCTCCTTTTAAAATAACCCCCACCCAACCGAAGACACTCCTTCTTACACAAAACGTGGGGTAAGTAGTATGTTAGGTGGAAAAATTGGTCAAAGCTTCTCCCACAAGATTAAATCTCAATCATTGATTTTCATCCAATGGTTCACAAAAAACTGAATAAAGTGAGTTAAGAGAACCATATTCTCACATTCTTCACCTTGGTTCTCATAACACTCTCTCTTGGTTGCGAATTTGCACATGGAAGAACTGTTCATCATCATCGCCCACCACCTGCAAAAAAATTAACCAGTGTCAATATGTAATAAAGATAAGCACAATCTAAATTTACTTGCAAGTAGAATTTTTGTTCCCATATCAGAGGGATTCCTATCAGTGTGAATTTTAACAAGATTAACTTCACCGTGAGACAGTTTCTCACGTATAAAATGATATTTCACCTCAATATGATTAGTTCTTTCATGATAAACAGGATTCTTACAAAGCAATAAAGTACTTTGACTATCAGTAAACATAACAGGTGTATCATGCATGAAGTTCAATTCTTTTAAAATTCCTTTTAACCAAGTACATTCTTTATGAATGCAAATGAGCATTTGAGAAGGAAAATGATAATAGTTGGCTTATGGTGCATACAAACTGATCCTAGAGCTAGACCATCAATGAACAGGGTTGTAGAAATGTTAGAAGGGAACATGGAATCTCTGCAAATGCCTCCTAAACCCAACTTCTTTATACAGCCAAGAGAAGCAGTAAATCCTTCAACTTTTGAGTTATCACTCTCTCTCTAATATTCATGAAGTTAAGCTACAACCCCATTCAAACTTCTTGGTATTGGTGTCTGGAGGCTTCTAATGTCGAAGCACAGAAGTTGTTTTGTGTTGTTTGTGCTCTAGCAATTTGTAAGTTGTTAATGTTACGGAACAACACTTATCCGATTACTCTTTGTTTTCATTGAAGTATATAGGACTATTACTATATATTTACGTGTATTTTATAATCAAAAAATTTAGATGAAGAATTTAATCAAATTCGTTAAACAAATCTTTATCCTGATTCGAGTCATGAATTTCCAATTTTTTTGAATACAAACTTCCAATTTTTGATACCAAAAACTTAATGATTAAACACCTCAAGCCTTTTATGGTACTATCTAAAGTCAATACGACATGTAGGCACATTTTTTTTTTTAATTAAAATCTAAAATCAATTCTAGACCACAAACTTAATTATTAGTCTTTGTTTTCCCACTAAATGTAAAACTTGCGCTCTCTGAATATATAAGATCACATAAACTAATATATTTATAATACTTTCCTCAAACCTTCCGTATATTTGTTTATCGTCGTCTGATATTCGACAATTAAGTATTAGCACAAATGATCGTTTTGACACAATTATCCACACCAACTTAAATACCATCTTTTCAATAGTTTCATAGATGTCTCAATTTAGTCGCGCTAAAAACTAAGCTTAGATTTATGTTTGTTCAATACAAAATATTTAAGTTGTCACTCGACTCGTTTTTCAAGACGACGATTTTTAACATGAATTCATGTTCTCTAATTCGCTCATTCTTGAATTTTCAACTCACCAAATATTAATCAACAAATTTTAAATTAAAGAATATTAAACTTACGAAAATATACACAACATTTTCTATAGATTTACATGAAATATCTGGAGATCAAGTTGAATTTATTTTTTTCATATGGTCCTCCTATAGAATTAAACTTGACATGAGGTCATTCAATATATTCAAAATGTACTAGTATCACCATTAAATTGCTTCTGCAATATGGACAAATTGTAAACTCTTATAGGAATTATCAACACTACAATCTTTTTTACAATGTGCCAACCCACATATATTGGTTAGGAACAATATAATTTATGATCAAAATATAAGTAGTGTCATATCGTGCTTTTTAAACTTACATTATCACAAGTGACCATAGAAATTTTAATTCGCAAGTTCAACATTAAATAAATGCAATAAAATAAAATATAATAATCACAATTTATATAGTATCAAAATGCTATTTTACATAAGTAAAACTATACTGTGTCACACACAATTCAACAAACCTCTTACTTTTTCTAGAGTATATGATGTGTCATGTCATGTCTTGCAACCACATGCCTTACGATATCCCTTGATAACCTTTGTTAACAAAACTTTGGTAAACAGATGCGCGAGGTTATTCCCAATAGCAATCTTACTCACTACCACGTCTCTTCAACCAACAATGTCTCAAGAGATTATACTTTCGTCCATATTTGTTTATCCCTAATGGGTTCGTTATCATTTGGAATTTCTTCTCCCTTATAAGTGAAGATTCAGATTGAATTTGTTCAATTGAGATTGGGAGACTACTGACACAATTGTTTAAAACAATACATCTTAAAGAAATAAAGTCAATGGACATTCCACTTTCAAGTAGTTCAATTCTTATTGTGACACTACATATGTTTGCACTACAACAAAGTTTACTTTTTACGACGTATAGGCGCATGTCGTATAAAACCATTCTGTAAATACTAGCATGAAAGCATGCCATTAATGTATTTTTCACGGTTTGCACTTGCACGGCGTAAATACTCAGCTCTTTTATGGCGTGCATTTGCACACTGAAAATACACTTCTTTTATGGCGTGCACTTACAAGCCGTAAATGTGAATTTCATTTTTTCAAAATATTTATTTATTTAATTACCAGGTCCAACAAGCTTATAATAATTAATAATTAAAAGAACTATATATACCAACACATATAATATAATCATGTTTTCCATAATTTGAATGAATAAAAATATTAAGTGCAATCAAATACAATATTCCAAAATGTAGAGTTAATCTAAATGATTACTAAGAACATCATTAGCCTAGTCAAAAAGTTGATAGCAATATACCAAAAGTATCGATTACTACTCTAAAAATAACTTATTAAAATAGTACAAAATATTCAACCCATATTGAAGACATCCCACAATCATGGTGATCTTCTGTTGGCAAGCAAGCATTTGGAAAAGATTTGTAGCTTGTAACATGGTCAGTGGATACCGAATTGCTACATGCCATATGCTTTATTTTAGTCTGTGAGACTGAGTAGTCCTAGAACCAAAAATAAAGAAAAAAGTAATTGATCATAGTATACCTTTATAAAATAAATACCAAGTGACAAACATCAATTTCATTTCACTTAGCTTGGTGTATATGGCCATTGAAATTTACGAGTAAGGTCCTCTTTATTATGATTCTTGTCCAAAATTTAAGAGTAAACAACAAAACAAGTAAAATAAGATAAAAAAACTGCTAGAAGAGACATACCCAAGTCATGGCTACTTGTGCTTTTGACTCTACTACTTGTGCAGCTTCTTGGACTTCATGACCCAATCCAATTTCAAGTAATGGAAGAATATGCATCTACGTTGTTTAACTAATAGTAACTAAAAAATAAATAAAAACCATGACAATGTGACTCAAATCCATAACCGAAGGTTAGCCACAAGACATCATAGATCAATTTATAGAGAAACTAGACTAGATAAATAGTGGCAATGGGAATAAATATTCTTTAGTCACTATCATAAACAAAAGGTCCATTTGTGAAAATAACGAGACCATAAAATTTATAAGAATGATAGCTAGAAATTTATAAAGTTATATTAACGACTACGACTTAAAGATGGAATGAGAACCAAAACGGCTAGTCTCAAAACCTTGTTATAGGAAAGTTGGAGCAGTGGTGAAAAGAGACGTGTTTAGAGCCACATTTTAACTACCTCTTAGTAAATGACAAGAATATTTGTAATTAAGTTCAAAGACCATATATACCAACAAGGCATTTATTTATGAATAAAATTCTAAACCAACATTTTGGCTGCAACACAACTAGAAAAGAGTTTAGTCAAAATGTGTGAATATCATAGTAGACCTTGTTCTGAACCCGATTGATCTGATACTCCCTCCAACTCCATTTGGTCCATAGTTCATTCCATTGTATGGCACTACTAGAAATGGTCAGTGAATACATTACCGTAAAGAAGCAACTGAAATTGAAAACGAAGCACGTACTTTCCAGAACAATTTCTTATAAACACCTTTGAAATTGCAAAAACTATGAAGCATAAACATCAATGAAATAACTCCAACATAACATGCAAAACTTCTGCAAAAATTTATATGCTAAAAAAATCTAACATGAGCATAAATTAATGAATTCACCAATCTCTACAATTATCTATAATTTATGATCATCTCATATTCCCATTTTATGAATGAGAATAGTCCCTCCTCCAATAAAAGGCATTTTATCTCCAAGCATTTAAAACAAGTTATACAAGTCATACCCAAGACTTTCCAAAGTACATTCTAACAGCCCAATAGTTACTGTAGCATGCACAGAATGAACTAGCGGTGCAGGAACTCTGCTTTCACCAGATTGAAATGAAAAATACACTTCAAAATATAGAGAACAGAGATAAGAATGATAATACACAAGGAAAGCCACCAGAGTAGAAGAAAAGCCTATCTAGTCTCACAAAGATAAGATAACTCAATTTTGTTGACTTAAACTTCCTAACATTCCCAAGGGATATTGGGAATTGAGGCTCAGGCGCTATAGGTTTTGTGATAGATTATTGAGAGTTCAATTTTTTGTAATGGCAAGGAGTATGAGAGATGGTGGCGTTTGCCCACCATCCTGCTACTGTTCAAGGAAATTCAAGCTCGGTTTGTCGATTGGCACATAGCGAATTTAGAAGTCTGAGATTTTTCTCTCTTCAGTCTTGACCTCGATACATTTTGGGCCTACGAATCTGTTTCTTGATGCAAAATTGTTTGCGGGAGAAAGTGGACTGGATTTTTCAGCATCTATGCAGTAAATAGGGTCACCATGTACACACATCTCAGAGTAAAATAGGATCTTTAATCAGAGTAATTGAATTGTTTTCACCATGTACATATATGTTCCCATTTGTGCATAGTTTAGAGAAAATTATAATTGGGAGAATAATTTAAAGGCACGTAGACAGATTACAAGTTTGGTGACTAAAGCGTACTATAGATTCTAATCATTCCAAATCGATAATGAAATCGTGTTCTGGCCCTAAATGTTGTGAAATAGCAACTTGTTGGCCACTGCCCAATGCACGCCCAAAACAATTCCCAGCTACATTCAATCCCACAAATCACATAAACATAATACCAAGGCCCCAACAACTCATTTTCAAATAAAAACCCTCGTCAAGTTTTAACAAACAAATATAATATCAAACAGTCTGAAGCTAGGATTAGAAGGTTAGGGTTCATTGAAACTTACAGGAAGTGGAGACATCCAAGTAGTGGTGAGAAAAAGAAATAAACTGAAATCAAATACTTCCAATGGCGTCGGTGATTCACAGTAACCGGCATATTTTGAGTGATTTCTCTATAGTGGCGGGATGAACTCTGCCGTTCGTGCTCTTTTCAATTTTGAGGGATTTAAGTTCAACTATTAGGGCCGTTTGTGTAAAAGATTGGCGGGCTTCGTAAATTTCAAATTTTTTACATGCACGTGTGCATGCCGTAAATGCTCGTTTAATATGGCGTGCAAAGGATGCACGGCGTAAATATTTTAATTAATTAATCTTTTACGGCATACATATAGTGCACGCTGTAATTAGTCTATTTTTACTGCATGCCGTAGATGTACGCCGTAAATGAATGCCGTAAAAGACTGCTTTTGTTGTTGTGATGGTTTAGCTAAAAATTAAATTTTTAATAGATTTTGATAAAAGTTAATAAAATATGTGGTTAAAAAGTTGTGAATTCTATAAAATGTATGGTTAAAAATAAATTTGAGAACAATTGAGTTTATAAAATGGAGGCCAAATGTGAACTTAATTTCAAATCTATTTAAGTTTGTAATACTAATGTTAGTACATTCAAAGCTATCGATGTAATTTATTTTTTTCCACTACAATTTGAGAAAAAAAGAAAATGACAAGAAGAGTAGGGCCTTGAAGTTGTTTCTGATTCACAGGCCACGAACTCAATTAACTTGTTGGGTGAGAAACTTTAGCATTATGAATTGAGATATGTTGTCTAATTTTTGCCGTCCACCCAAATATTTATTGATACGTTATTTTAAATTAATAGGTCATCAATTTGGTGGGTTAATGTTGAAGTTAATGATGGCGAATTTGAGATAACATATTAATTTAAAAATGATGTGTCAATAATTAGTTGAATGAACAACAAAAATTAGATTGGACTGCTCCAACTCGGCACCTTTGATAATACTTTTCTATTAGTCTTGATGGAAAAATTCCAAGTCACCTCTCATGTTTCACCTTCATGATGCAAATAATTTTCAAATAGAATTGAGACCGGGCAACAGAATTTTATCTCTCTCCTTCTCCTCCACCAATTTCTGTGACTGATATGGGGATGATTAGTAGCTCTACAACAGCTAGCTCCAGTGGGTGAGAATTTTATTTTCATTTTATTTATTTATTTATTTATGGAAGTAGATTATGGAAAGAATTTTGTTAAACACCCTTTATGTTATTTGCCTAATTGATGGGGATTTATTCCATATTCCATGCTTTCAGATTCACAAACACTAATTAGAGAACTACAACTGAGAAATTGCTATTAAATAATGTAGCTTTTTTTTAACATCTAGCTATGTTGTTCTTTGGCTTGATAAATACGATGAGATGTTTGCTATGTACTACTGACAGCAATAATTCTAGAAGTTTATCTCTTTATTCTTGCTAAATTATTGATTTTTCGTATTCAGTCTAAACAAATACAGCAATTAATTATTGATCAAGTAAGTATTTGTGCTCATAATAATAACAAAAAGTAATATACAGTACCAATAAAACATGTAAATCTTTAATTATCCAAAATCAATGTTTCGAATTAATTAAAGCTATATCTTTCATCTCACAAATAAATTTGGCCAAAAACAATTGTATAAGAAAAACACAAATTACAATTGAAATACACCACGAGTTTAACGAAGAAAAAGACAAGAACGTGAACGCAACTTTAACCAAGTTTAATTCTTCTTTAATAAATTCTCCAAATCCTAGTTCATTACCTTGTATATTTTTTTTCCTCTCAATTTGATCTCCAAGAATTTCTAAAAATATCATGTTAATTGTCAGCCCGATAATAATGAACGACATTTCCTATTTATAGTATTGTAATCCCATAGAAATTCGTGGGTTACAATTCACACAAAATCCATTCTTTTTGAATAAGTGCAATCCAATTTGAACCTAAAGATCAGGTTGCAGAGGCCTCCCCAAAATTGGGAAACCTCGTACTAGCACAAAAAATTCACGTTGCTTTATGGAGGCAGACGGCCTCCCCAATTTTGGGAGAAATAACACCAATTTTTTTTTTTACAGAACTTGCATGAAGCCCCATGAACTTCTGTCAAGTCTCCAACTTAGTTTTTAAACGATTTTCCCCTTCCAATTTAGTCCTTCACATTCGGAATTAGTCCAATTGCATATCATATCTTTTCAATTTCGCTCTGTTTGGCTCCAACACGTCCCTCCGTTAATCCATTTATAAATGAAAGAAAAATAACAAAAATTAGACCCAAAAAATATTATTTGGTATGTAATTGTAAACTTAAATTCATGTATGGACGACATACAAATTTGTGAGTCCCTGTATGATTTTGATACAAAACTCAGTTTATGTATAGTTTAATACGTGGGTAAAATTCATGTTTGGTTTGGATACAAGGGATAAATTTCCTGTACTATTCGCACAATTAACTTGTCAAGTGTCTTGCACATAAGTACTCTGTTTGCAATGTAGATTGCTCCGTTAGTTTTAACAAACGGAAGTTATGGATGAAATACGAATTTAGAAATTGATGTATGCCTTTTTTCTAATTAGGCAAACTCTAGGATGGACGAGAAGTAGCAATAAAGCAACTCTATGAGCATAATTACAAACGAGTAGAGCAAAGGCTGAGATATGCATTCAAGTTTCATGTTGGGCCCCTTAGTTTTAAGAAGACTAGCCTTGTAAGAATTGCTGCCATTTGGAAAAATCATAGATAGTCAAAAGTTTGATTTTGAATACATTGTTTACCATTTGGAAAAATTGAAGACATGTTACAGTTGATAATTCTTATAATTTGATGATTTTTATTTATGCCTTGTGATTTTCATTCTTTGCGCTCACCCTATCGTTAAATTTTTTATTTGGTTTTTTAGTTAGAGAAAATAATACCACATTTAACAATATTAAGAAAAAATCTCGTCAATTTAAAAAATCACGTGTCATTTGACTTTTTGAGATTTTGATTTTACGAAGTTTAATAACGTTATGCTATTTTACCATGCTAATAGAACCAAATGAAATTCATAATTTTTATAAGAGAAGTTAGATTTCCAATATATTTTCACTTGCCAATTTCATTTTCCAAACTAGCTGCCGCAATAATATTGTAAGCACTTTTATATGAAAACTTACTATTTTTGTCCCTCGTGCTGTATGGGTAACATAAAAATATTAGCCAAAAAACTCACGTTGCTTTAACGAGGCAGACGGCCTTCCCAATTTTGGGAGAAATAACACTCTTTTTTCCAGAATTTGCATGAAGCCCCACGAACTTCTTTCAAGTCTCCAACTTGGTTTTTGAACTTTTTTCACCGACCAATTTAGTCCTTCACATTTGGAATCAATCCAATTGCATATCATATCTTTTCAATGTTGCTCCGTTTCGCTCCATGTCCCCCCATTAACCCATTCTATGAATGAAAGAAAATTAACACAAATGTGAGCCCATGTATGATTTTGACACAAAATTGAGCTCATGTTTAGTTTGATACTGGGGTAAAGTTCATGTATGATTTTGATACGGGGATAAATATCATGTACCATTCGACTAATTAACTTGCCAAGTGTCTCTTACATAAGTAGATTGCTGCGTTAATTTTAACAAACGAAAATTATGGATAAAATACGAATTTATAAGTTCATGTATAGTTTTGATATAATGTTGATTTCATTTATGATTTTGATACATGGCATAAAGTTCATTTACCATTCACATATTTTACTCTCTATTTTGATTATAAAGTGCCTTCAAGTAACTAGCAAGATTCAGAAGGGAAATAATAAAAATCACAATTTCATCTTTATACCCAACTTATCAATATTTCTTATGTTGGGTTATATATAAATTATTTGTTTGGCTCTCCAATCACAAAATCTGAAAGAAAATATTTTTTTTTTTTTTTAGTTTTTTGAATTCGTAACAAGTGTAATTAGATATATATTTTAATGACAAGATGGTTAAACCTGTCAGAAATCTGATCCTTCACTTTAGGTCCTTCTCTGCTTCCAATAAAATTAGTCAAGTCTAGAATTTATGCAAAGCGAATGATTATCTCAACCCAAATATTTTTTGATTCCTATTCTATTTGTCTGTTTCCAGGTCTTAACGAAAACATTTCCAAGTCAACTGCTCTATTCAACAGCCTCTCTATAATTTAGTGGAATTGAGGGAGACGGTGATTTCTATCCTATTCTTCTTTCTTCTCCTTCTTGTCAGGCATGGGTTTTTCCAGGGAGCTATTCAGGGCTGCTGCTAGTTTTCCTGTTCATTTCTCTGTGTTTTACCTGCTTAATCTAAACTTTGTCTATCCTAAATACCCAAAGTCTTTCCAGTGTGGAAATCTTGGCCGTTTGGAGTTTCCTTTATCCAATTTTACGCAACCTGAATGTGGATTGTTCAGGGTTCAGTGCGATGCCACTCCACATCCATTAGTTTACCTGGAAGATGAAGGGATTACATCAACCAGGGAGATTCTGTCCAAGATATCTACCCATGTGTTCAGGATTAGGAACCCAACTCTTGAAGGTGTTTTGAAAAGTAAAAGCTGCGCTGTGTTCAACAATTTCACTATTCAAAGCTCGCCTTCTATTTCGTTGTCAGTCCTACCTAATATCACTTTGTTTAAATGCCACAAAACTCCGATACCTTCTTTCACGGATTATTATAGGAAGTACACAAGTTGCCATTACTTCGATATATATTACGACATTAAGAATAAAAGTATTTCTTGCCCAGAGTATTCTGTTTTTCACTTGCCAGGCGAATTGAAAAATGAATCGGATTCAATAGACTTATTCGATCAGCTTAGCGCTGAATATAATGTACAATGGTTTCTGTCTGTTGACTGCGCAGAGTGTACAAATACCAGGAAGAATGAATTTATATGTGAAAAAGGTACCATCGACCTTCAACATGGACAATTTCAAGATAGAATGAATTTATCAAGTGATTGCTATATGCCAATAAATAGTATTGTTGGGGATCCTAGGAGTTCAATCAACCAAAACATCAATCAGCAAACAAGATTCAAGGCAAAAACAAGAAAATATAAAACCGGAAGAATACAACCCCTTTATATGGCCGAAATCTGTCCAGCTTCTTCTTCTTCCTTGCAGCAGCTTCTTCACCTCTTATGGCAGATTTTACAGGCTCAGGAACAGCCTCATGCTATGCAAATCGCCTTCC